CTTATGGAGAACAAGGAAGCTTCCACCTGAGCTTCGAAACACACCAGGATGCTTCAAGAGTCTACCAGAGTGATTAGTGAAGTTTTTCACAGTGTAAGTCTGTGGTAAAAGGAGCTACATTTGCATTTAGGCAATTCAATCTCAGTGCAAGTCTGCGATACATTACAGCACAGTGATAGAATCTGTTTTTCTGGCCTTAATCCAATAACAATAAAATTCTATGAGTAACCTCACTACTTCGGATTACTCCACTGAGTTTAATAGAATTGACCTCCTGAACCTTTAAGACATCTACTACATGCTGTTCCCTATCTCTTTAAATATGAAGCAGGCTTTCGATGCCTACAATGACTTCACATGGTGGCAGCCACCACAGCTCTTGTACAGTGTTCTGATTAGCAATAGATGAATTTGCAAACATTTTGATATTTCAGCTAGGTAAGCACCTATAAATGTTATGAAGTATGTTCATTAAAACTTCACAACCCCATCCCTTAAATTAGGACTCTTGCTGACCTCATCGGAGTAGGCGAAAGAGCAGTAGTTGGTCCTCTTCCACATATAGAAATATTAAGGAGAAGTATTCACATTTTCTGTATGAAAAAATAATATCCTGATTCTAGGAAAATTTACGTTCTTCAACAAGATTTTCCAGAGGAAGACTGACTTCCTTTCTTACGTCTCAAAGAGGACATTCCTGGGGATTTCATGTATACAATCAGAAATCTTGGATTCTGCTGAATGCACATACCTCCCTCTCGCTCTCTCTCAAGAAACAGCCTTTGCAGTTCCGTCAAAAAAAAACCCCTTTGTAGTTACACTTGAATATCAGCAGAGGACTTTCCAAGCTACACTCATCCTCCCTGGACACTGAAACCACCACTTAAATCGGCATCCTAGGCTTGGAGCATAACGTTGAACTTCTTTAGGTATTATACACTGCAAGGATCCATAGTACAGCATGCTTTGAATTTGCTAGACAGATGAAATTGGAGTTTCTAAACTACATGACAAAGTCTAGGCTGCCACTGAAAGAGACAGCAGCAGAAGTACAGCTTCAGAGAGTTTCTCAGACAGAAGGTCCTCAAGCTCCAAAAGCAAAAAGCAAATCAAACTGTCAGGTATAAGATGGTGCAGCATGACTGTTTCACAACAGCATATTTAGGCCAAAGTGATTCACCTGTGTGTAAAGATCACAAAATAAAACTTGGTTGAAATAATATTTTCTATTTCAAATGGCAAACCACATTCCCACCGAGGGCTGATTTCAAATTATTGCTTCTTTACTAAAATGATGAGTCTTTGAAAAACAAGATGTACTTGGGAGATATGGAGGGCATAAGGAGAGCAGGCACAACTAGCAGCTCAATTGCAGCGCCACCACATCAACATTATATACAGTATAATAAGGAAAATATAAGATTATCTAAAGGAACTAGGATGTTGCTTCTATATGAGCTTTGCTGGTGTTCACAACAGTGCATTTAAGATTTCGAGGCAAGGTGAAATTACGTTCAAGCAAATTTCTAACATCAGTTAGCACTCTAAAATAATTACAAACGATTTCCGAATAGCTTGGCTACATGATTTAAGATATAACCCATATTAACTGCTGCTTTACATTGCAACAATTGCCCTTCTGTTTCGCAGGTCTAACATAATGGTAAAATGGAGGTCTGGTTCTGAGGAAAAAAATTCTCTGCAAAGTTTGGAGAACACAAATTGTAAAAGACAAATAAAAGTGGGGTAAAACAACTTTCTTCTGACACACAGCAGAAAATATTTTTACATTTAATGAAGAAATGAACCTGTAAGAGTAGCAATTTTTTTTTAGCACCGAACATATAACTATTTTATATTTTCAGAAGATGCATCATTTTATGTGCAAATCAAGAATGGTACTTCCTTTGGGTATAAATACATCAGAATAAATGACCTAATTGCAGATGCTGCAGGAGAAAGGAGGAGTTTGCAACACATTTACTCTTTTTGGAGTTGACACCTCTTTGTGGAGCAGGGCAAGCCTACTCTTACTGATGCTATGCTAAATAAAATTTTCAGCCACAGTGCTTCCTGTGGAGCTTTCCCATCGCTAACTGAAAGACAGAGAACCTTTATGAGGAGCAACATGAAAAGGAGAAACATAAAAAGAAATTCCCTGGATTCTTTAAGGTCTGCACTTCTTATCCTTTGCCCTGCTGCCCTGATAAGTTCTTGGCTTCCTCCACCCATGAACAAAAAGCTTCCTGCTTGATCAGATAGGTAGATGCATCAAAAATCCATTTGCTACTATAGATATACATGAAGAGAATACAGGTTTTCATCGTTGCCCATTACGGATAGGCTACTCAGCCTGGACAAGAGAAGGCTCTGGGGGAGACTTTACAGCAGTCTTCCAGTACTTAAAGGGGGCTACAGGAAAAATGGAGAGGGACTCTTTATCAGGGAGTGTAGTGATAAGAGGAGCAATAATGGTTTCAAACTGAAAGAAGGTAGATTTAGACGAGACAATATGAAGAAATTCTTCATTATGAGGGTGGTGAGACACTGAACCAAGTTGCACTAGAAAGCTGTGGACACCTCCTCTCTGCCTCTCAAAGCAAAAATTCCTCCTACAGTACAGAATAGGAGTGAATCTGAGGCCATAATATTTAACATTATCTAGTGAGTCATCTAATATTTATAATCATATGATCACATTAGGCTGGAGAATTCAGGCTTCTTTTTCAGTCTTTCAGTATTATAACAGATTTGAAATGGCCGTAAGAAAAAATTTGATGCTGCAGCTGGTCATTCACTGAAGTGCTAGTGAATCAAAAATAGGTTGGGAGATGTCATATCTCAAAGAAACTGAGGAAGAACATAATACGTTGTGGAATCCATCACTTCTCCCTTGCCCAGCATAGCAAGGAAAAGTAGGACTAACAAGTCTTTGTGCTGGATGCACATATGAAAGCTTTGGGGGTTGACAGTGGTTCTCCCCAAAGGGATTAAAGAAGCATGAATGATCTCTACAACTTCCATTATCAGATAATTCTTAAGTGTAATAAAGTGGTGACCTAGTTAAACCACATTCCTGTTCCTGGTGTCTCTTTTTTTGTGGTGTCTGAGATAACGGGGAGATTATTTTGGCATCAATTTAATCTAGTTAAATAGCTTTACTGAAGATCTTTATCACTATAAATAATGGAGGTATTTGAAGTATTTGGTTACAATTTTAACTGAAGTTATCCAAAACAATGCCTCTCTAGCAATTCTCTTTTGCTGCTTCTTTACTCTGTCTGAAGAAAGTTATTAATGTTTCGAACACTTTTCAGCAATAGCTTAAAGGTACAAAACCAACAACAAAAATGACCAAAAAAAACCCAAAACAAAACAGTTTGCTGAAGCCTCTGATGAACATTTTAAAAGTATTTGTGACAGGTATCGTGGAACACATCAAAGTTGTGTATTCATTTACTCTTTACACCCTTATAAGTGAAAGAAGAAGAAATCTTCTCTTTTTTTCCAAGCAAATCAAACCAAAAATCCCTAGAATTATTTGTAATAGAACACCACCTGCTCCGATGAAGCACAGTGGGATGAAGTACTAAAAAGCTTAAAGCATGTCTGTCTATTTAGCATATAAAATTTTGGTGAAATGTCTCCTGGCCAGCTGAATGACCTGAGACACAAGAGCATCATGGCTGGAACACAGGTACTTGGCTGGAATGTCTGTAATGAAGTCAGCAACATGAGTGGATGAGAATTTCATGCTCAAGGGCTGTTTCCTATTTTTACAGACCTGTGGGGAAAAGCTATAATGATTAGATGCATGAGGTCAGAGCTAGTGTGAATTTAGCATAGGAGGAAGGGTATTCCTTAACTTGCTGTTACTGAGTGCATGAAGTTCCACTGTATGCATGATTTGGAATATAGAATCATAACATTAACTATGTACAGTATGACCTAAACATTAATATAGCATAATCAGCTGTGAAGTGTCACAGTGCCTGACAGCAGAGTGGTTACTCCAACAGGCTGTGGAGATCAGAATGATTTTGCCATTGATATTCTTCTCCATCTCCTCCTCAAGTAACAATTGTAGAATTCACTTATGTCACACAAAGGAAAAATACCAGATACAGCACCTTCAGATGTGGTCTGAATAAATCTTTGTTACTTTTTTCACCTATTCTGAAAGAGGAAAGGTGTTTAACAACACACAGGACACACAGCACAGGTCTTGAGTACTTAGGTTATCTGGAGATCCTTTATCCTCTTGCCTGCAATACCTCTTCTGGCAATTACTATTACCTTTTAAAAATCAGGGGGAGTAGCTACTACATAGTATGAAGAGTTTTAAACATTTTAATTAGATGGAGGAGAGACCTATGTACTGTCTGGCATTTGTGTACTGTGTCTAGTATGATTAATTTCCTCATTAATAAAGCAGAACATAAATTAAATTTGCTTGTAATAAAAATCTTATCTAGAGTTTGTATCACCATGTTTTTTTTATGAAAACCTCAAATGACTTACAGTTCTTGAAGATGGTGATTTTTCCTCATCTGAGAATTTACGGATAATCACGATTTCCAGCTAACCTCTCAGAAAGCCTGAAACCTTCTGAAAACACAATTATTTTACAACAAATATGCAAATAACTGAACAGAAGGAGGGTTAGAGTCAACAGAATTGATAGACCTTGCTTTATGGCAAAAAAGCATCTTCTCCCCTCTATCTCACATAATAGAGAAGATTGGAAGCTACATAAGGAGGGAAAACAGAAAGAGTATTGGCTGCATAATGCATGAGCCAAGCATACATGCATCCAAATACGTAACAACTATAGAGAAGCAATAAACACTTACATTGAACACCTCTTACCTTTCATAACTGCTGTGACATGTCAGACCTGGCTTGAAGACTTTCAATGTGATGTTAGAATAAAACAGTAAAAATGAAAATAATGCAAATTTTCTATTGCCATGAAAATATGAAAATTAATCTTTTCCCACCTGCTGTTTTAACTGATGTACTAATCTGTCCTTCTCTCGTTTAAGAGCCATTACTTCCTCCTGAGTCTTCTTTTTCTTGGAAGCAGACAGTTCAAGCAAGGCAATGTTTGCATCTTTTTCACTAATTGCAGCAAGCAAAGCTTCCTGTCTGATAAAACAGAATAAAAATTGTTATATTCTCATTAAAACAAATAATATAATACTATATCACACTATGAAATGTTTCTTTTAACCACGAGCAGTTCAGAACTGCTTTCTGAACACTCCCTAAATAGTAAACGTTTTCAAGTCTAATCAAATAATGAAATAAGCAGATTAGCCAAAAATAGTTATCTTCATAGATGTTTTTTATTATTTAACTATTTCATAACACATTTCTCAGTCGATTTTACTATGCTATGATACATAACAATATTTCTGTGAAATGTATTTATTTTTTTAAATTCACTTTCCCAAAATCTAGAATATACTACATAAATATGCTGTGAATTACTCAAATCATACAGACTGAATAAGAAAAAGCAAGGCGATACAAATAAAACGTTTTTACATTAGCCTGTTAACTTAGTACCCTAGAGATCTCAGTACAGAAATCTCTGGACATCTTCCTCACATTTACTTACATGTTTTCCTATGGATTTATTATTACTCATCGTTTCACCACAAAAATATAATTCTAGAAATCACAGAATCATAGAATCATAGAATGGTATAGGCTGGAAGGGACCTTAGAGATCATCTAGTCCAACCTCCCTGTAAAATATAACATCTAGATTAGAAGTTCCTTGATCTAAGTGTTCATGAGAAATCTTTTCCTTTAGAATCTTGACCTCTAAATCTCCATAAAGCAAACAGAAACTTACAGCACTTAGAAACTTACAGCACTCAGAAACATATAGAATTACATAGAAGCTAGCAGGGGCACATCATAGTTTGTGAGGACATATGACAAAGGTAATTTTTAAACCCTGCAGTTGAAGGCACACATTTGCAATATCTTATCATTTCTTATACTCTAAAATGCTCACATTGTCAAGACCATAATCTGTCCCTTATTTAAAATAAAATTTAATTTTTTAATAGATTTTAAATGAAAGAAAAATATTCATCTGCAATGCATTCAACGACAGACCATGACTTACCAGCCAAGAAAAAGCATATAATACTTAACAGCTTTTAGAACAGAATATGTTATGGCCTATGCCTTTTTCCAGAACTATATTAAGATCAATCATGAAAAAATAAACATGGATAAATGAGTCATAAATTAACCCTAGGCTCCAACTGCTAATAAATGTAAGAACATGGCTCATGAACTTCATACAGTCAAGGTGAGCTAGAAGTTTGGAATTCTCATAGTCCTTTGCTTGCCAGCAAAAATGTCAAGAAAGCTATTTCACTTTTATTCAAAGTTCCTAATGTATTAATGTAAATATTTATAGGACAATATTTCTGATGGAGTCAAAGAAAAACAACCCATTTATTTTGCTCTCAAAGTTATGATACATGGATCAATTTTAGATAAACAGTTACATTTTATTTATACACTTAAATAGTCTCATTTATTATTCTGTCTTCTTCATTTTAATCACAGTTAAATGATGTTTAAAAAAGGATGCCATAAGTCTCCAACAGTCTTAATTTAAATGAAAGCTATTAATTATTTTAAATAACAGGTACTAAAGAAAAAATATTTCAGAAGGGCACGTATCCATGTCACTAATTTGAAATTATATGCAGGTATATTGTTTTCTATAAACCTCATACTAATACATAAAACTTGGTGCACAGCAATTTGTAAAAGATCATCAGTGTTTTCATGTGATGTGCTCAAATACAAAATCAATTCCGTAACATTTTCATTAAAATCTTAAATTCTTAATGCTCTGAAATAGAAGAAAGCTTATTTGATACTGTATTCAACAGTTCCTCTCATCTTGCAGAAAGCAGAGGATTTATGCATCATATAATATCTAAATATCTAAATATGCCCTCTTTGGAGCTCAAACAGAAAGAAAAATGTAACATAATTTCAACATTTTTTCCGGAATTCCTTTTACATAGAAGTGTGTACTTTTCTGGTTTAGAAATGTGTTGTAAAGTGTTTTTTGCGGGTTTTTTTACAGGAGTGAGAACAAGCTTTCCAACACAAAGTGTCAGAAACAGGCATTCCGTGATCTAAAGATACACTTATTTAAGGTCTGACGATAAATATTGACATAACCATCAAGAATTCAACACAGTCAGAATGAAAACAGGTAAAGAAATCTACATCTCAGGAATTCCAAAGTTTTAAAATATATTTAGATGAACTCCTAATTTATGCAAGTTAACTCCATATCAGTCAGACCCAATATTGTATGTCTGCTAATCTCATAGAAAATTTCATGGTAAAGACTTGCCATCTGCAAGGTTTCTACTGATACATAATGTTATTTGATTATGTGTAACACATATTACAGCAGTAAAAAGCCACAAACAGAATAAAAGTTTTAAATTTACCAGAAAACTACATGAAGTTATACTGAAATTTAATTCTCCGAAGTATAGGTTATTTCACTGCCTCAAAACTGACAATGAAAACACAAACCTGACTAGTGAGGAAGAGGAGTCAGAACTACTGAATTTGGTATCATTTTGACATCTGATAATGGGATTCACTCGTATCCATCTTTTTTGAATTGCCAGTCAAAACGGTCACACATTCCTGTGGTCATAACCATGCAACACTCTCTAGTCCCACTTTAAAATAGCAGATGACATAAAAATTTCCACGGGAGAGGAGAATCAATCAACACACTTTGAACAATCACTCTGGATTCTGCAGCCCCAAACCCACAAGATTTTGCAGATCCTAGAAAGCTTTTGTCAACTGATGGTGTTGAGGGATTACAAAAGCCAAACAGAAGTTATGAAAATGCTTTTGCAAGGGAAAGCTAACAAAGTCTTTTTTCTCTATTGTCTTACGGCTTGCAGGATAATTTCATGCAGTTCACCACTTTTCCTATCTTGGGAAAATATTTTGGAAAATGCATAATCAAATACTTAATTCCAAGAAATAATGATCCACACCAAACACTTCCAGGAAATAATGGTTCGTAGTCATGTGAAATAGCTGCCGTCATAAGATCCACTGAGGTGCTCTAAGATTTCAGACAAACCTACAGCACATGCACAAATTGAATTGCAACTCAAAATTATTGCAAATATATTTTTTATTCCTATCTTTATAGTAGATGTAGGTGGTGTGGAGAGTCCTTAAACCTATGAATGCTGAGAGAAACCGCAAAGAAAACAAGGATAGGGATTTCTTCTGAAGTCCTTCCATAGTGATGTGGAATGATGAATACATCTACACAGATGGGCAGCTGAATACAAATCCACATTGCCAGTACTCCTGAAGGCACTTGACTACGAGTAAGCTTCCGTTCAGAAGCTGTAAAGCCTCATTTATCTAAGAGACATGGTGTTTTAGCTTGGGCATAGCGCCATACAACGTGTTGATGGCTTCCGGGCTGGAACTGACTTGCACACAGCCTGCTCAGCACGTGGGCAGAGCAAGCTTGCCTCTGGCTGCACCTAGCTGCACAGGCATATTCTGGAGCACGCTGGCATATTATCTGTGTCTACTATTATGGATCGTCTGAGCAGTGATAAGCTCAAATATATAATCCAGTGGCATTTAACTAGGCATCCAGGTTAACAGGAGTACAGCAGAGCAGGTCTATATGTTCTACCAAATGATACATGCTGGTTGCTTACATCCTTATTAACTAACTGCTTCAATACAGACGGAAGACAGAGAGACTCAATAGGTTTTATTATTTTACAGAATACAAAACAAAGATGCAGGTTGTGACAGGGCATCTGAAGAAACTGAAGTGGTCTCTGCTGGTGATGCACTGTAAGTGAAGATCCAGGCATTCACCAAGCAGCCTGTTGGGACAGACCCGGAGCTCTACATTCTCCTATCACATTTATTACACATCACACACTGGTATACCCACATCTGTGAAAGTTGCTGTGCTACCCTGTCAATTTACTTCAAGTTTCCTATGGAAGAACCAAATCTGATGAACAGAAGCAATTTATTTTAGCTGCCAGCGAACCTGCTGAAAAATTCCTATCACCACCTTTGCAGGAAACATTTGAAATGAAATTACCCAACCACTAGGAACAAGGCTAATATGCCTGTAAAACAGCTGCCAATAGTGCCTTTCTCACTCACAAACATGAAATAAACTTCACTCCAGAATGTAGATAGGTGGCAAGGTCTTCATCTAAATCTCTGAGGTGAGTAATACATTTCTGCTGTGCTGCTAGAAATTAAATCTTATTTTCAGTTTTTGTGCAAGAATTTTTTTTTAAATCAAGACCTGAAGTGGCACCAAGAACAACATACAGTCTGATAGACTCTCCAGCTAACATGCTTAAGAGTGTAAGCATAACTTATAATTCCTAATTATCTACTGTGTCAGGAAAAAAAATTACTATCCAAATAGAAGTTCTATAGAGATGTTATCACTATTTACAGCCAAAATGTCTCCTTATTGTTTAATAAATGATGGTAATAAAATACATTTTAAAATAATTTATTAGAGCACTGAATTAAATGACATTCTCTAACAGTAATATTTATAAAGAGTAATCCTTTTTGCTATTAGTAGTTTTTCCTCTCTTTTTGGCAAACTTATACAAAGAACAGAGTAGTACTTTTAACACCAGGAAAAATCACTCTAACTATACATGGTAAAATTCAGTAAACTCTCAGATTAAAAAAACACATGTTAAATCTAACAGCATTTGCTCCACATTAGTAATTATTTTGCACATTTTCCTTTGACATACATAAGTAGTTACTAGGATTCCCAGTCTTCGTATCCTCCACTATAATATGGTTGCTCACTACAAGGAGAAGAGGGAGAAGTTTTCCCTGGAAAAGCAAAACACATGAAATGAAGCTTCTTCCCTGGCAAAGCTTGACTGTGTTCTACTCCACAGCAACCTCAAGCTAGTCTCCTTAGTACAAAGACAGTGAATAGAAGTTTCTTGACGAGCACACTTGCAGCTGTGAGATCAGGGCTTAATGTACTAACGATTCCAGTGAGAACTACCAAGAAACTTACACAAATATCTTAGTATACTTAA